GTTGGAAGGCATATAATCAAAGACCTGGAAGGGAAACATGAGGTGTGTAGATGCATTGATTGACCAACCAAAGGCCGGAAGTTAGATCAGATTCACATTTACTTTTTAATTGGAGTTAGCATGTGGCTAAAATGCAATCTAACCTGAGTCCCAAGAGGTTTGCCAGAATCGGGTGGACATTGAGAGGTTATGAGCTAATCTTCATAAGCTATTGGCCACTGAAAGGTTGTTGTTTTGTTGCACCATCAGTCTTCACTTTTTATTTGAGACAAAAAGTGCAAAATCTGGACCGTGTAATGTGTATGCAGAACCCATGCATTTCTGGAAAACCAGCTCTCAAGTTACATTTTTAATGCATTCTTTCAGCATGACCCACATGCCCCCCAGGGAGAAGCACAGCATGATATTTTCATTTCCCACATATTACAACAGAGAAAAAACTAGAAGAAGTAATAGTCATCGGAATAATTGATGTTCACTGTAAGAAAAACGCAGAAGCCTTTAAACTACAAGTCCAAAAAAGAGACCTTGCTCACGTATTCCATCATCCTGGACAACAGAGAGTAGGCACATCTCGTTTCTCAGCTTTCAGATCAGGAACATCTAATTATAAGTGCACAAAAGAGCTTTCAAAGCTCAGACGCCAGCAGTAAGAGGAAATTCAAACAAGTTACTGAGACAACACTCAAATCAAACCGTCTCTTAAGTTCCTCAAATGGCCGCCGAACATGGCTAATTAAATTCTTATCTTGGTTGATGGGAAAGACTATTTTTGCAGAGAAGTAGACATAAAAAAAGATCCGTGTTTGACTGGGTAAAATAATAGTTGCTGTTTTAGTGTGCAGAATGAGATTTCTGGGGTTAAATCTTCTCAGTGCAGAGATTAGTATCCTATGGGTAGTGATAAAGCGAGAGAACCGATACCAAGTATGAGTTTCTGTAATTCTGATTAACACAAATTAGCCATACAAGTTCTGCAGTATGTGTCCCACATGACTGAAATGAATGACCAATCAGTTCATTAGCCTCATATCACCAGTAGGCACACTCCTCAACCTTCTAGCCGCCTGAGTAAGATGTTATCATCCTAGTGGCTCTATGTTGGAGTGATTAATGCATGCACCTTACTCATGGCAGATCCCTGGTTTAAGACCAGGGAGAGACACAGCATACTCCTGGTGCTGATCCTAAGACCGGAGTAATGGAAAGGTTGTGTCGGGAAGGGCAGCCAGTGACAAATCAGACAAGTCAATCTGTCCCCTGTGCTGACTTCGGAAATAAGTGATCAGCTAAAAGTTAACTCTTTGTAGGATGTAATAATAAAAAAGATTCTGGAAAATATAGTTTTGAAACATCCTCAATACCTGGAGAAGAAGCTGTCATCTTTTCTTAAACCCAACCAACCCAAAACCCGATGCAAGATCCTGGATGTCAAACCTAGGCTACGTCCACACGTACCCGGGTATTTTTGAAAACGCTAAAAACTCACCCATCACAATGTAGACTACAAGGCCCTAATTATTTAATCTCTAAATGTTTATATCATTTAATCTAAAAATACGTTTAATCGATCCAACACGAACCAACTGAGGCTACGTCCACACGTACCCGGGTATTTTTGAAAACGCAGGTTTTTCTATGCGTTTGCGCCTTTCGTCCACA